CCTCTCCCCCCTATATTCCCTCTCCCCCCTCTTGTCTCTCTCCTCCTTCTCCCCCCTCTTCTCTCTCTCCATCCATTCTCTCTCCTTCCTCACAACCTCCTGTCCAACCCCCACCATCCTATGGTCCACCCTCCTGTGGTCGGGTACCTTACACCCCTCACACTCCTCACACTCCACCTTCTGCCAGACATCTCGTTTCTTACAGGGCGTTTGGATCATCGCGCCAAGGGAGCAGTGTTTGGCCAGGGCGTAGGTTTCGTGGGTGCAGGCGTGGAGGTTGAGGTAGTATTTGCACATTTTTGTGGCAGGGAAAAGGGAGGTGGAGAGGGGTGGGTGATGGGGTGATGGGTGGAGGTTGGGTGGAGGTTGGGGAGTTGGGATGGTGGGGAGGTGGAAGGTTGAGGTTGAGGTAGTAGAGATATATCATCAAATGGAGTAGACAAGTAAAGATATGAATTTTGTACTACACGTTGTATCGTATCGTACAGTACAACGAAAAGAGTCATGTCATCAAATCTAGACAAGTACTCCACTCCACTTTAGAAAACCATCAAGGGAGCAACGGTTATATATATATATATAATTCGAAAAGCTCAAAAAGAAAAAGAGCCCAAGATTTAGGAGGTGGTCACACAGCATTGTGTATGTATGTATGTACACCTCGTACAAAACGCATGCAAAATCTACATGTGCTGGAGGCAACATTCCTTCTCCAACGTTTCAATGAGAGAGAATTTTGATGGTGATGTAACACCCCGGCTTGGCTTTGTACTTTTTCTTGCGATGGATGGTTTGGATGATCGGGTTGGAAAGTGGGAGTAGATGGTTCGCGCTTTTGTGCTGCCCTGTTGGGTTATCGGAGTTGTTGATGATTTATATTCTGGTGGGACAATTGGTTTGGCCATCGAACATTAAATTCTGTTTTACCAATCATCCTAAACTATTAGAATAATTATAAAATAGCACAGAAAGATAGAAAAGCTCAATCTATTGACTGCCGCTTTATCAACCCAATATTCGGATCGCTTGTTTGCTTTCTCTCCTAGCCGTTGCCTAACGGGAATGACGGAAGTTGGCCTGAACAAGGCTCTGTGTAACGATGAGGTCGAAAAATGGGTTGCTCCAAGTTTCAACACCAGGAGGGAAGGCAAATGATATAAATCTAATATCGAAGATGAGGGAGCTCTGAACCAACCGTGTATTCGGGACTTGCGGGACACGACGGATCTATCCGCTACGTTCCCATTCTAGGGCTGAAACTTGGTGATCAATGACAGCTTTGGACTCGACTGAAGGGACTTGGAGGAAAGGAGCATGTGGTAAGTGAGGAAGCGGTCTGCGATGCAGACTCCTCGCTTTGGATGGTACGTGAAGGGACTCAAGGGAGACTTTACATGTAGTCCACTTGAACGGAGGTACAAGAGGCATCCGAGACCAAATCAAGCTTTCTTGACATAATGTTTGCAAGACTCTCGCCACATGGCGTCCTCGACCTGGATATATCTTGATTGATAGCACCAGGCTGATGGATTCTGGACTCAGCTGATGATGTCTTTGATTTCCACCACCATCCCACATCTTCACCCCTCACTCCTGCAGATGGCAGCCACTGCTATGCGTCTCGAGTTCATTTCCTAGTCTATGCAGGGGCGTCGCTTAGTCTTTGTGATTTGCTTCACCGCCAATTCAGAGACTCGTTTGCCGATGAGTCCTTTTGCCTTCATCCCGTATCATTAGACGGAAGAGGGAGAGGTGGGAAGGCCGCATATATGAAGGCCCAGTGCGGTAGAATGGCGCCCGGCTTTGGTGTGTTGGTGTGCTGGCACCATGATCTGGCTTTCAAAATGAAGGAGGTTGGACCAGTCTGAGGAGAAGACGTTGACATAGCCGCACACCCCAGGCTAGACCCTCTTTCTGCCATGACGAGCTAAATATGGTTCCTCCATCATTCTTTGCGTGGGCGTGTACTCTACGGTACATGTGGCGCCAGACCAGGGAAGGGCACGCTGCTAGGAGGCGACCAGGCGGGAGTGTCCAAACAAGCCAGTCAGAAGACGGATGACGGATTTAGCCCTACCAGCTCCTCCACTCTTCTACTCTTCTACGTGCATGAGAGCTGCAGCGCACAGCAACTCTCCTACACCAAATGGAGTCCTGTATCAAAGTATCGAAATAGCCCACCGAGGTCTTCTCGCTGCCGGCGGCAATCCCAAGAAGCGCGGAAGAGCGACACGCCCAGATGGAGATGGAGATGAGAGGAAAAAGAATGGCCGGAGATTGGGAGGCGTCGAGGTCGAGATGCAGCCCGAGGCATCTCACCAGCAATTTCCAGGCACGGCTTGTACGGCTTCTGCGAGTACTTGGTACAGTGCAGGCGCAGCGCATCGCATGCCACGTATCATGCATCAACACCAATGCTGCAGCTACAGCGGTAGTACGTCTATTAACAGAGCCATCCAGTGTCAATACGACGCCAGAACCAAGAGGGTGGAAAGGGCAGCCAAAGTGGTTGGATGCTGCGTATTGGGTGCTGGGTGCTGCTAATGCAAGAAATATCACCTAGCCGGGCTCCCCTTTTGTATATCGTCTGCTTTGCTTGCTTGCTCTCCGTGCTGCTGCTACTACTACTGTACTGTACTCTACTCTCTCCTTGTGCTTGCTCTGCTACCCAGTACGACTCTCGGTCTGCTGCACTCCATCTTCGAATCTTACATTTCTTGAATCCTCTTTGCTGCACTGCGATTGCTTGTCTCCTGCTGTGCTGGTGCGGTGTTGGTGTTGGTACTGGTGTACCTCGGAAACTCCAATCTGCTCAAGCTCCTTCCGGGTTTTTGACGCGCCGCCCTCACTAACGCTCCTTTCTCGTGCCATCCACAAACCCTCAAATCCCTCGTCACTCTGAATTTCGCTTCGGAATACATCAACGGTGTCGGGTCAGCCGAATTGGCGTGTTAGAGAATCAATTGAGGGTGCTGGTATCGTTGCTGGTGCTGCCCGTCATCGGGTCCCTTGCGCCTGGTTCAACTGGTTTCCGGATTTTCCTGACCGCCTCGAGCAATCCACCACGTTTGAGGTGCCGGCGCGCCTGGAAAAGGAAGTCGAAATGCTTTGTGCGCATTCCAGTCCATCGTTCGAAGGATTAAAGGGTTCGCGGTTGTGTTGAAGTCGAGAAGTTTGCGTTGCGCGGTCGAGCTCAGAACGAGGAATTTCCCTGCCATTGCGGATCAGGGCCCGTTAACTGCGCGCCTGCGACCGTCGCGTGTATTATAGTGGTCAGTCATGCTGGTGCAAAGCAGCCATCGATCCTCCCCAATGCGACAAGAGAGAATATGTATCTGACCATGCCTAGTTTTTCTGGAACCGGACGTCGATCCACCCATAGGCTCAGTCTAGCATTCGATATATTGTTCCAACTTTCCGTATATATTTCGGCCCTCCATTCGTTTAGATATTTCGAATTTTTGTTTGGGGATTGTCTGATTTAGGAAGTTTGTATTGGAGTAGTTGTGTGGAATCAAAAGCTAGTTGTAATTGGGTTGGTGGGTTGCGTTGAAAGAGTAGAAGCGCTTCCAGACACTAGACGTGGAAAAGCTGCAATCAACCAAGCGGAACAATTATTGGTAGAAAGGACTCGCAGGAAGTGAGAGGAAGCGCGTGGGATATCAGAGGCGCAAAACTGGTTACCTGGCAACAAAACCAGCAAGATTTCGAAAGAGTGAATTGTGGACAAAGGGCCAAAGAGGAATCTGTTTACATCTCAAGGCCCTTCTCCAAACACACACATATCAACATCATTCAGGTTACTACCACAACAGCAGTCTCAGCTGCTCGCGACTTGTTTCCAGGACCTGCATTGAACGATCAGCCAATACAGCCCTCGATTCTTTTGGTGGTGCTTTTTCTGGTAAGCAGCACCATCCCGGAATTGAAAGAACGGAATTGCTTCTCTTGAGATTCTCAAACAAGATCCCCCAACTGACTTGCTTTGTAGCATCACGATCGAAGTGGGCGCGTAGTGTTTTCACTCAAGGACCGGGTGTTTACACACTCTGGGCTTTTCCAATGGCGCAAGGTGAGGTGGATCTCAAGTTTCTGTCGCAATTCGCAGAAAACGTCAAATATGACCACCCTTCATTATCAAAAAACCTTTCGACCATACTCGGCAACTTGACTATGATGTCTGAACTGGTTATCCGTGCGCGCAAATCTCGAAGACTCGATACGACCCGCGATACCAAGTCGGTTGATCTCTACTGTCGCATCATCTGGTACGCAAGAGAAGGCTTACAGATTGTGGAGCATATCATCTTGCCCATGGTTGCGAATTCTGGCCCACTCAAGGTCTTGTCGTATAAGATTCGTGCCTCTTACTACCACCTATACGTTCTATTCAACAACAATCCTCAAATTACGTTAAAGGCCGCGCACAAGGAGGTCCATACTCCACCAGGACTCAAATCATCTCGAGATAAAGGAAAGGCCCCAGAACGATCAATGGGATATGATAGCCAATTTGCTGGTGATGATGTCTTTCGACCCAGTTCAGTTCAGCCCACAAATCCTCTTGAGGGCGGACCTGTTGGTGGCGTTGGTCCTCGCCCTCCAGGTATTGCTACAAACTTCTTGGTTCCCAGTATCGATTATCGCTCCATCGCTCTCCAGTGTTTTCAAGAAGCAAATATCCTTGCTGAGAAACTCCTCTGGGGCAGTCATCCACTTCGTGTTTCTGTTCGGCTTGAATATACGGCTTTCCTCTACGATTGCTTACACGAAAAGGAAAGCTCCCGCCACTTAGCAAAAGCCACTATTAGCGAGGTTTATAATGCACCACAAGGAATGGACGATGACATGTTTCAAGATACTGCACTATTGGTTGGAATCTTGGGCAAGATGATGAAGCGAGGCTTGGGATCAGCAACATCTGGAAGTACAGCTGGTGGTAGTGTAGGAACCCGACACTCACCTCCACGAACCACAGGCGAGCCAAATGTATCCATTCCGAGTACAGGCATGGATAACGCTATTTAGGCGCTTCACATGTATCTAGCTTACATAATTTCCAAAGAATTTGAATGTTGGGGATTTTCGATTCTTCTTAATTCGCCAGCCACGTCCTCATAGAAGTGCTGGATATAGCCTGGGTTTGTGGAGGAAGAGCTTTCATGGCTGTTGTCATGGGCGGCATAGTTTTTGGCATTTGAGCACGGCGTTCAGCCTCTAATTGTACAAACAAAACAACGAAGAATGTAGGCTACGGTTTGGTAGCTTGAGCATTGAGGTTTTTTCCCGGTGTGTATTGGAGATCTACCTATACCCTGACTTTACCAGATTTCTTTTTGGCAAGTCAACTTGCGTTGGAGCATGGTTTTTCTTGTTTGGTAGAGGATGTGCAGATGTTGGGTTCAATGCAATGTTGTCATAAAATCCATTTGCTTTGCTTTGCATGAGGTGAGCGACTGACTGACTGACTACCTGAATGGGCCTTACGACGCCGCTTTCCTACTTACTACATGCAGATTTCAACGACTATGAAAAGCATATCATTTGCGCTGGATTCCTCGCCTCATACCTCGCTGCAGAGCTTCGATATTGCCATGCTTTGGTATCCCGATCCGTGAACGCCGAATTGAAAAAAAACCCCTTCTTCCTACCTTCCTCCTCCCTTCATTCAAACCATCAACGCCATCACACCCCATATCTACACTCTTCCCATCCACCCTTCAAACGCCCACTGATCCACTCATCCACTCATCCTCACCTCCCATTCAAACCCCATTCAAACCAATTCCCCCTCCAAACTCCCATCCACAACCTCCCATCCATCCATCTTTCCGTCCAGTCATGTGAGATCCATCAACCCTCATACCCATCCTGCCTGAACTTATTCTCAATAATGCTCGCATCCACCATCCGACCCGTCCAATTGAAAAAAGCAGCCTGAACACGCAACCACTTCTCCTCCGCATATCTTCTTCGCAACTCATCCAGGACCGCGCAGTCTTCTTCCGACCAGACGCCTCTAACGGGTTTCAGGCCTGTGAAGGGTTCTTTTGCTTCCTCCCCTCCTCTCTCTTTACCTTCTCCCTTTCCTTTCTCTTTTTCTCGAACCTTTGATTGATCTTGGTGGAATGTGTGTTGTTGGGGTGATGATGACGATCCATGAAATCGCGACGCCTCAAGATACTCCCGTGATGCCTCGTAGTACTCAGCAGCGGCTTTTGCGAGCTCTCTTGCGCGGTTCTTTTCGCGTGTGCAGAAGGGACAGGGACAGTCGTCGTCGTCGTCGTCTTCAATGATAGTAGTGCGTGGTGGTGGCGGGGATTTGGGGGTTGGTCGAGGGGCTGGGGGTGTGGGTTTGGGGTGTTTGTTGGTTGAGGGGGTGTTTTGTTTTGCGGGTTTTCTGTGGTGGTGATCGTGAGGTTTTCCCCTACTTTTGTCTTTCTCTTTCTCTTTGCCTGTCTCCTTGGTGCTTGCTTTCTCCTTCTCAACTTCCTCAAACGTCTTATCATCCTCGCCTAATCCACCAAACATCTCAAGCACCACTTCCACCTCCCCATCCCCATCCCCAGCATTCTTCTCTTTGTCACTCTCTCCCTTTTCCAGTTCCTCATCCTTCTTCTCCGCCGCAGTCTCAGAACCCTTAACCGATGGCGTCGTAGTCGTAGTTGCCACTCCGCTACCACCTTTCTCAGTACTCAACTCTTTGAACCGGTTAATCAGTTCCTTCTTCGCGATGTTTCCGCCTAGCTCGGCGAGGATCTCTTTCCATGATTTGTTGTCTTTTTTCATGGACAGGATTTTGGCGTCTTGTTCGGGGGTGAACTTTGAGGATGAGGATGAAGATGGGAGTGTGGATTTTGCGGTTGTTGGGGAGGTGGGTTTTGGTTCGGTGGTGGCGGCTGGTGGGGAGGGGACGGTTGGGACCTATGAGAAGCTGGGTTAGCATATTATTTACTTGAAGAAATGAGGAAGAGGCAGGAAGTAGCAATTCTCATGAGCTGATAGGCTCATAGATCGATCAAGTCAAAGTCCAAGCTCCGATCCAAGAATCCAGATTCTCATCATCCAAGAAAGCTTTTCAAAATCTCTCTCTCTCTCTCTCTCTCAAANAAAAAAAAAAAAAAAAAGCAAAGGAAAATCTCCTTTATATATTCTCACCTCCTCATCTTTCTTCGGCTCCTCCACGGGTGTTGCGACAGACTCCGTCTTCTTCTCCTCAGCTGCTTGGGCTGCTTCATTGGGGTTTTGAGGCTCCGAGATGGCTTTCACTTTTTCCTCTGCGGGCTTCGCAGCTTCTTCGTCTTTCTTCGAGCTCTCTGGGGGGGTTGCGGTGGTGGGGGGTTGAGGAGCCGGCTCTACCGTCGGTTCTTCATTTTTCTTCTCGACTACAGCCTCGATCGGTACCTCTGGAGCTGGAGCAGGAGTAACCACCGGAGCAGGAGCAGGAGTCGAAGTAACCACAGCAACAACAACCTCCTCTTTCTTCTCATCTTTCTCATCTTTCTCAGAGCTTGAACTTGAATCTTTCTCCTTGGACTTGGACGTCGACTTGGACTTCGCCTGTGCAGAACCTCGTCGGGACTCCGTAATAATCACCTTCTTCCCGCGCACCGTCTTGCCATCGCTGCTGGTGACGCTGAGCAGGGAGCCGCCGACGAGCCAGTTGGAGAAGTGGAATTCGACGCGGTCTTTCTTTTGTTTTTCTTTTTCTTTGGGTTTGGGCATGGTGGTGAGGGGGAGGTTTCTTTTGGGGGGCGTTTTGGTGGTTTGTTGGTGTTGAGAGGAGTGGAGGTTGAGCAGGTGTGGTTGAAGGTGATGATGGTGTTTGTTTTGCTTGATGTTTGATTGTGAGATTGTAACGCGATGGCGAGGGTGAGGATGAGGACGATGGTGAATCGATTGCTATGAGACGTGAGGTGCGAATTGGAGTATTGAATTGGCGAATTGTGTTTGCGTTTTTCTCGAGTGAGAGTTGAGAGTTGATGGTTGCGAGTGTGTGAGGAGATGACATGGGGTTCGATGAGATCGAAAGGAGGGAAAGGTGAATGAATCATTCGGCTAATGAACTGCCGATTACCGTAGCGAGATTCGCCAAAGAAAGTCACAGCCACGATAGCTTGATGGACAATGGGATTTTCTATCATAATTTGCGGATGACGTAATTTTAAGCTCTGGGGTTCTTTGTGAGACTTGGGAATTTGAGTATTGCTGTGGTTTTTTTGGGAAAGGGAGGGCTTGGTTGGTGGTATGGTGCTCGCTCGCTCGCTTGTGTGGATTGGGATGCGTGCTCCTTTTTTTCTTCATTTTCTGTTTTAGGCTATATGAGTGAGACTTTGACAGGTACTGATAACCTACACTTCTACAAATCTCCAAAAAACTAGCTTCTCATTGTAACAACCCACAGATTCCAATGTTGATCTTGCGGCTTATCTCTTGAACTGCCATCGCCCAAATTCAGATCACTCACTTGCCAATAATTACCTACAAACTTAGTGCAACAAAACGCATCAAGTCCTTACATCGCAGCTAGGTCACAGATCGAGAATCGGAGATAAATTGTTCTGTAAACTTTGAGAAGTGCGGAAGTTGTGGTCCATAAAAGAATTTGATGCCGCTTATCAAGATGGGAGCTATGAAGTCAACACCTTCGGGACATCGTTCACTCTCATCCACTCGTTCTCCTCTCTACCAACTCAAGACTTCGAGGCAGAAGTGTGGTAAGAAGATGGATGGTAGCTAGGATGGTACTTTTGGCGAAAGATAACCTATGCGCAATGCTTCCTGCAATTTCCAGTATTACTTGGCGGAAAGATGTAGGTGTATATGAACTCCAAGCTCGAGCTTGGATTGCGGATACAGAGCGGTATCTTCTTTTCTGGGAGGAGATGAGGTGAGAAAACATGCTGACAGAAATTCGTACGACAATCGGGAGTAGAATCACATGCAAGAGATTAATTGTGTAGTTGCTGAAGTGCAGTGGAAAAGACGCTGCTTTCAAGTATATTCATCCGAGAGATCCTTCGTATGATTATTGGATGGTGGATGGGGTACGTTGTATGCGTGTTGTTACTGTCGATGTATTTCCTGCTGTTGGAATGTGACTGTGAATTCCCTTTTTCATGGATTGATGGGTTGCTTACTATGGTCAGTAAAATTTGGGAAAGGAACAGCCTTAAGCTCTAAGTTTTGCTGTTTAGTAGGAGATGAGAGTGTTTAGCACGTGTACCTGCCTTCTTTGTACGAAAACATCTCGCGTACTACCTTTGGAAATCTTTCGATATAGGGGCTTGTGGTTGAAGCTGGTCATGTATCATCTTTATATGAGCTAGGCATAAATACAACGAGAAAAGAAGAAAGAAGAAACTCCACTGTCTTGATATTATACAATCTTTGTTGACGGAATTTGGGAGTACCAGAAGCACCGAAGTTTTCGCAAGTAATATTGTTAGATTCTCTTTAGGATCCGTGGCCTTTTAGTATCGATTGTATTAAGAAGACAGGGCTCACGGAATAGATTTTGACAGGGTAGGAATTGCTACCGAAACCGACACTCGAAAGTTACTTTCTTACGGAAACCTTTGAGTTTATTCTTGCGATTCTTCCCTTGCATTTATTATTTCTCTGTTTGTGTTACCTAGTCTCTACTACCCGGAGAAATCTTATAAAGGATATATTTTGTACAGAGAGTTTGGAAGTAGGGAAGAGCCGTCTTTCTTATATAAAAACGACCGAATTTAAGATACTACTACATATAGAACTCGAGAACAACATGTCTTACGATTCAAGTTCTTCTAAGGGGAGTGCAAGTAGTCGTTCTCAATACCGGCTCCCCAAGCCGGTTATAGCATACTCATGGACATTTCAAGCATACTTTGATAAGCTGATCATACACCCCCAAGCATTACTAGAGCTGGGTGATGTTTTCGAGGTCTGCTACTGTCGAATTTCACCTTGCTGTCGATAGTATATATTCCTGTCGTTACTTACTACCCCTTAATCATAGTTTCATTCATTTGTCTTATAGTAAATAACATCTCTTTCTAAATACAGGTCGAATAGTTACAAACCATATGGAGGTAACAGTTTCGTCAGTATGTAGTAATTGCCCTAGAGTCTTCTTTACTTAAGTAGTCATTTTTCCCTTTCGAATGCTACGTTTATAAAACAGCCTAAGTGGCGGCCTGATTAATGTTAAATGCCGTAGTTCTTTGCTATATCGAGTACTGAAATTAACACTAAATCGTAGTAACCCCTTCGACAACAATATTTATTCGGCGAAGCATATAGCCATACTCGCAAAGACCGACAGAGTGTTTCTGGTTATAGCACCGCCGTTACTACGCCAGCTAGCGCTAGATTTTAATGCGACAGATAGGTATATAGCCTGTTATTGGTAGCCCAAGAAGGGGAGAGTATGGTCGAGATATCTTAGAAGTCGCGCCATTGGTTATAAAGTAATGCACCGGAGTCTACTTCTCCAAGTTCCATTTCCACACCAGAAGATGGTTATAGCCGTGACAAAAGAATACGCTCTTGAAAAATAAGAAGAAAGAACGAAGGCAAAAGAAGGGCACTAGAAAAAAGACAAAGCCTTTCGGCCCCTCGGTGCCGCAGAGGGGATGTCCTAGGAGAACCCCAAGTCTGATAGTGAATTCTTCCAAAGACTCCCTCCAAAAAAATCCAAAAAAAGATTTACCATTATCTTTTTTTTCTAGAGAAGGTTAGTAGTACGTGCTTTTTGATAGAATTAAGAAGAACTTACTTTACTACACAACTGAGCGGTCTGATGCTTGACCAGGGCGCGTCCAAATTAGCGGGAGGAAACAGCTTCGTGGTGTTGGTGCTTATGGGAATTGGCGCATATGGGAGCACACACTAACTGACTGGGCCAGGCGGGCAGTAATCCCAGTTTTCGTGACAGTGGCCGTCTCATTTCGGGATGTCAATATTGTTTTGCTGCTTTTTGTGGGGTCTGGGCTAAGCGACGGGCTTTGATTGGTCCTTGGTGGGGAAGGTGGGATGGTGGGTAAACTTTGGGGTTATTCACGAGTGAATAAGAGATATCGCTGCTGACGATGATTTTGCTACCATGGGTGAGTAGCGCCCACTCGTGCGCTTTTCTCGCCCTCTCGTCCGTTTTTGCTGGAGGCTGCGGAAGTGCAAGAATTCGCAACTGAGTGGAGTGGGAACACCTCTACTTCTCTACTTTTACTGTTCCGCAAATGCATGAAGAATGACTTCGATCGTGTCAAGAGACGCGGAATATTGTCTCCATGCGTTTTCAATTGTTTTAGAAGCAAAGGGACGATTGTGAAAAGTAGAGCATCTCTAGCCTATAAGAGCGTATCTTTGATCAATGACAGAGTGATAAAAACGCGATCAAGTTCTAGAAGATCTATAACTTGACAATCCCCCTCACTTTATTGGAACTTGGCATACATTATTCCCATGCCTGGAAGATATCCGTACTCCAGACTTCCGAAGGTCTGCTAAAGTCCAATGGCTGATGCAGCTCTACACTTCTTGTGTCAGGCTTTGAAGATGAAAAGCTCCATTGAATCCACCGTTTCTTATCTTTGATTGCATCTCATGTCTCACGCTCTATCCTTTGGATCATGTTCTGACAGTTCTGTCGTTTGGACTGAGATTGCCGTAATAATTCGCCGATACTACGATAGAAAGACCTCCTCCACCTTCCCATTGATATATGTAGTGCCCAAAATGATCTCAAGGGTATTCCGGTATCAAATCATTCCTTAATACTCAGGAAGGGATTCGAAGATGGTAGAGTCTCTATCGCGAAGCCGTTGACAATAACTGCAAAATGACAAATAACCTCAAAAGCAACATCGCTCCGAGGTCTCCGAAAAGTATCTGTATACACTGTCTTCTTTTTGCAATGGAAGCACAATTGTATTATTCCGATTCCGCTTGGATACCCATTATTTCTGCTACAATTACAAATGTCAGGTTTGGTATTCGGACATGACTGTAGACTTGTGGAAGTCTTCCTGTAAGATACCCGGTCGTTACTCTGTACACATTATATAAAACGTCATCATACTAAACCTGTAGTACAAGTAAGCTAATTATAGTAATATACCTAGGCAAATAAAAAGTAACCAGTAGCAATTATTCTAAACTCTTTATATAATTGTTTGAGTTTTGCGACGCTTTTAGAATAATGTCTCTTACGTTTAAAGCTCTGTGGAGCATTAAGTTAAGAAAGAAACCAAGCCCTCTCATACGTCATTCACAGGAAGCCGTCTAATGATGAAGGACCTCCCCCACCAAAACCCGCGTCCTGGAAATTTCAGCTACACTTACAAGGCATTCTCTTTACTATATTATTGCTGACATTTCATTCGCAGTTAAGTCCAGTTTCACTGCCAAAACACCACTAATGGATATTTGAACCTTTCAGCTGATAGTGATTCAACGTTTCAATACAGATTACCCTTGCGAAAGACTGCTATGGGAGGTCTCGAAATCTTGGGAAATTCCCAGACTACTGTAGCAGGACTTTATCAAATAGCAAACTATAAGTGATTTATTTTGCTTCGAATCTACCGGTAGCGGTAGCTTCACAAGTCCTAGTTCTTTTCAAATTTCAGGGTCGGCAAGGAAGACATAGTCAGTGTTACTTTTCTCCCCAACAAACAGAACAGGAGCATCCTCTACGTCGTTCACGTTCGTGTCATTAGAATCCACTTCAGAATCCACACGAAACTGCTTTCGAGACCGTGCCTGATAAATGCTTGCAGTTTTAATCTTTGTATTGCGTAAGAATTACTTAGTAGGAGAACTCTATCGTATGGTCCAATTGACGAATTACCCATTGTATTGATCAAATAGTCGATTTAAGTGTTACCATAGCACAGATGCCTTCGCGCACGTAGTATACTGCATAGATTTTCTGCTGTTTGAAAGGGATATATATAAGAAGGATGGATCATATTGGGAACAATATCATTTCAATAATTGAGTAGCTCCAACTAAAAGCTGGAGTACTCCCAATGCTGGAGTTTACTCACGATCTTGAGAGAGAGAGAAAGACATGGCCCTTACCAAGCTACAATTTGAAAAGACCAATCTGGAGATCGAAGTAGAACGAAAACAACGCGACCTCGATCGAACAATGTCCACATTTTAAAGTATTCATAATATATTTTAATACTAATTCTTCATCTTTAAAGTATGCAAATGGAGTAGGAGAGGAGCTGCACACCAGCAAAATGGAAATGCGTGCCATGACTATCAAAGTGCTATCTACATCAGAATGTCAAGAGCGACCTGCTTTGAACGTTCATTTTCGAGGGGTTTGCAGTTCATATTCAATTAAATGCTGGTTGATGGTTATCAGTACTTGTGCTGAACTTGTTCTTATTCTCGGCAGTAGAGAACAATTCGACGGTAGGATAAAGCTGTGAAATGCTTGTACACAGTACACTACCCGATAGCCTTCACATATTTAGGGATAGTAGTTAACGACTTTTCAATGAATACAACCTTAGCTTATCTTATCGACAAATTAAAGGGGCTTGGACGAGATGGTTTCAGGTTTGGTAGAGGCCGGATGCTGTAAACCACAATAAATGTGGCGCCAGTTCAGGCGACAGACTAGTTTTTCATGAAGTACTAGATTATATGGAGATAAGAATGCGTTGGATTTGGCTTTTGGGCCGCTGACATCTACTGGTCATCTACACTTTTCAGCTGGAAGCACTCGCTAAGTTGCCAACAAGCCTCCTCGTATCTTAGCGAATATCATGCTAGTGACCTTCAGCAATACTTCTGATGTTCTTAAACCTATGATGTGCTCAAACACAGAATTCCGATTCAGCTGTTCTTGTTCAACTCCATCACGCAGAACAAATCCCACAGCTCAAAACCCCACCAACCGCTCTAAGAAGCCAAAAACATAACAACCGCCAAAACCGGCGCTAAAACCCAAATCGCAAGTTGGACCCTAGGCCACGGAAGCACAATCCCAAAAGCCCTCTTCACAACCGCGGCTCTAACCCACCCATCAACCCCCTCCCCATCATCTCTCCTCTGCTCTCTGCCCTCCAAGTCCCCACACCCTAGGGCAGCCAATTGCGCAGGATCAAGAAGATACCTCTCCTCATACAACTTCAAGATGCGTTTCTGCAGCGGCTTCAAGAGCACGAATTGGAACGTGATTTGCGTGAGGAGGGTGACCATCAAGGCACCCCAGCAGAGGGCGTAGGAGGTGGCTTGGATGGATTTGGCGGCATCTTCGTGTTTTTGGCGGGAGAGTTGGGAGGTTTTGATGTACTATTGAGATTGAGGGTTAATATCTGGGTATGTGAGTGTATGAGAAGAGTGAGACATACCAAACTCCCCGAGACAACAAAAAGCATCGAGGCAACCGCCAGTCCCATCATAGGAATCAAAGCCATGACCCTGGGGTACTTGGTCGGAACCGGAACAATACGTTTCAACTCCCTTTCTGCCTCTTCAAAGCGTGCTTTTCGTTCTTCTTTACTCAGATTCTCCTTCTCGTCATCTAGTCCCCATCCATTGTGCTGATTTCTCGTGGGACGAGTGTCGACACCGTCTTGTGGACTCCCTTCCCGGACCTCTGCATTGACGGAACTTTTTCTCTCGCCTGGGTTGTTGTTTTTCTCATGCTCGTCGACGAGAGTTATGGCGTCCGAGTCGCCTCTTTGCAAATTGAATCGTGCTGCACCGTTGCTTGTGACATCTTGACTTTGGTTTTCCCAGGGGTAGGTTGGATTCCAGGTTGTAGACATGTTTTGAATTGAAAGATAATGATACTGTAAGAGACAGTTAGAGATTCAGGTATGTACATACACCTACCCCCTGTAAAGAAGGGGATCATTCATTATATAATGACTCAAGTTTTCAAGCCCAGCGTCCTCCCAAATCTGCCGAGAAGTGCTAGATAGGGGTGAGGAGTATACCGGATATCGTTTTGAGCTTAGATTCCAGCTGAGAACCATTCTTGACGCAGGTGGACAGGCGAGAAGACCGTCTTCATATCAAAACGTCTATTTGACCGAAAGGGCTCTCCAGCCCTAGGCCTACAGATTAGGCGTCAAAGCCTTGTAAGAAATCCGCGAGTACCTTTCTTACACTGGCTAGCATAGCTACCACAGTAGCTTATTATCTGCTCCTCATATGTTCCGATTTCGTGGCTGCTTTATAGCTCAGAATTTCCCCCTCCCGCCTAGCTATAACAGAACAAATAACCAAACAGCACGCAGTAACCTCCCCTCCCATGTCACATAACACCCTCAAAGGACCAAAAAAACAGCCAGAGGTTCTTGCAATACATCCAACTAGCACATTGTGACGTCCTCCAACTGATATAACAAGATACACTTGCAACTTGCCAAGCATTGCTGGTACGCTACTGAAATAAGTAGATTGCATTTATTGACCCCTCAGCTGTTGTGGCCGTTGCACAAGGTAGACGACCCATCGGTCGCTTGTTTTGAGTGTGGAGTAGCTAGTGTGTAGCTAAGTAGCAGATAGGTACCTCTCGTCTCAAAGAACCCCAACTTGAAAGTGAAAACATCCATCATTGTGCCTGAACAAGTTTTCCAATATTCTCTCTGGCTCTCTTCTTTAGTATCATAATTAAGGCAGATATTTGGTTATTTGCCTGTGCCCTAGGCGGTGGGTGCATTGCAGCTGATGTGAGGGATAATAAGAATCATGTTTAGTCCAACAGCTCAATTCAGCTCATCCAATCTCAAATGAGGGAAAACATTTGGATCAACCAATTCAATTCATACCTACGCAACAGCTGAGAATCTCTTCTCCACTAAGAAAAGAATGAAATGACTGGGCATTTAACAATTTTCTGAGCAACATGGGGTTGGAATTGACTTTTTGATGTAGAGCTATCTAAAACCTCCTAAGAGGTACTCCAAATATGCATTAAGCAAAATTATGAAGTGGGGTATCAACAGTACAAACAAATCCGCTGGATTTTACTCCCAAGCTCTGTTTGCGTCCTAGGTAGGTACAGTGCCTCATGATACTCCAGATACGCCGCAACTTTTGTGTGTTTTTGCCAAATCTAGTAGAAGAACCCAATGATCTTCCCGGCGACGTGCTTGCGTCTGGCCTCCTCGTGGTCCATGATACCAGCAGAGGTGGTGAGAACTATGTAACCGAATTGACGGGATGGGAGTAGCTTGACAACCCACTTCTCTAGCTCACCGAGGCGGACGTTGTATCTTGGGGAGATGACACCGGTCTTGTTGAGACTGTGCAAAATGTCAGTGGGGACTCGATGGGCGATGAAAAGATAATGCTTACCGGCCGTTCAATTGGATGACAATCTTTCCAGATCGGTGGTCGTCAACCTCCTCGAATTCACCAATGTAGCCTGCAAATTTAATTGTCAGTATGTTGCGAAAGATTAAATGATCATCATCAGGAAGAAAAATATGAGAACGTGTAAGATCCTCGCGTTTGGATATATCGGCAACTTAAAGGACTATGGTCGTAGGGAAAATGAGACCGTCATCTAGTTATCATGCCGAATTGGGGGTGGGGAAAAAGAAATGGCGGTGTCGACATACCGTGCTTTTGCATGACACTGAGGAACTTGACGATGACCTTTGAAGATGGGTGGATGAGAACTTGTCGCTTTCCAGACTTCTCGGCGTTGTTGATGGCGTTAAGCGCATCGTTGAGGACGGAGGTCTTGACCATATTTGCGGTAGGAGATTCTCAAATCGAAGATTGGAAGTGAGGTATCTGCGCAGAGTCGGACGTTAGCCTTCATGGGCTCTGGAGCATGGAGAGTGCCCTCATGATTGACAGGAGGGTTCTTCAGCTCTGTCGAATAGAGATGAGTAGTGTCGCACAACTCTCGATTGCATTGACGTCGTCGCGCGATGCGATTGAAGCTTCGATCAGAGGATGCGGTTGCAGTTGCCGCCAATGTTCCTTTCAATCCCTCGGCGCCATCGTCGCAAATCGAGAAGATGCCGATTTACTCCCTCTGCCGGCCATGAAGGACTCTCGAGAATCGGTTCCATGGTTGAGACATACATACCTCGTGGAAGTTCGTGATGGTCGTTGGGTTCGTGGATGGTGGATGGAATGTGTGAAGTTTTTCACGATGCAAAATCGAAAAATATTCTGTCGGATCTGGTTGTGCCGCACGGACCCACCTGCGAGCCCTGCCTCGCCTAGCGTGGGCTTAAGCGACCACTATCTTGGAGCAAGACACACTGAAATCGCAGAATCTCCAGAAATTACTCCCGTACAATCCACGCGAATTTCCACCAACACCTCTTACAACAACAACTTGTTCTTCGAGGACCGGAAGTCATCAAATACAGTCAAGATGGTAGGGCGCCCTCTACCCCAGCTCTCACCCTCGAATTGTCGAAATTGACGAATCCGAATTCCAACTTCTCTTTCAATTCCACAATATGCTAATCAATGTGGGGGGAATCAACAGTCTGACGCAGAAGACAACGCCTCCAATGCCCCCGATGTCGCGGAAGCCGAAGAAGTCGAGGTTTCTGGAGATGCCACATCCAAGGGACAAATGTCAGTTCTCGACGCCCTGAAGGGTGTTCTCAAGCTCGCTCTCATGCACGACGGTCTCGCCCGCGGTCTGCGCGAAGCTTCCAAGGCTCTGGATAGACGTCAAGCACACATGTGCGTTTTGAACGAGGCTTGTGAGGAGGAGGCATACAAGAAGTTGGTCGTTGCTCTGTGCTCAGAGCACAAGATCCCTTTGATCAAGGTTCCTGATGGAAAGCAATTGGGCGAGTGGGCTGGTTTGTGTAGGTATCACCGAGTCCCCAGGTCTGCGCATTTACTGATTCCATCTAGGCGTCTTGGACCGTGAAGGAAATGCGCGCAAGGTTGTCAACTGCTCCTGCGTTGTCGTCAAGGATTGGGGTGAGGAGTCTCAAGAGCGATCGATCCTCCTCAACTACTTCCAAACCGAGCAATAATGTCAAAATAAAAATTGGACGGATGGATCTATGGAGTTTTTTCTTGCGGCGAATAGACATTAGCCTTCGCTGAGCTTCTCTTTCTGATGTATTCTTACACAAGATGCACATTATGAAGGGGTGGAATGAACTTGGCATATGGGGTATCATACAAAGCAATTTTAAAGATGGTTCAAGACCATATCGATTTGTGATGTGGCGCCAAAACTCCAAAGTTTCCAATACGACCAATATTCCTCAATTATTTCCTTCCCTCAACCATTAAAATGTGATATCCAAAGCTCGTCTTGGCCTCTGCGTATTTAGGACTTGCTGTAGTTGAAGCTTCCAACGCAAAGGCAGCTTCTTCAAATGGCAATTCCAATTCCCCTCTCTTCTTCCATCCCAAAGCCCCACCTACAATCAATTATATTAGTACCCAATTGCCAAAGCAAGCAAGAATACCACGAACCAACCCGTGCCTTATCCTCCGAAAACTCCCTAGCAACGTCATCAAATTTAGCACCTCCCTTCAACTTCTCCAAAGCCTCCTCCTTCTTCCCATGTTTCTCGCACTACCACGCAAAACGCATCAGTATCTCCAACCTTCAACCCTTCAATACAATTATCCCCCTTTCATATATTCCCTTCTCACAAAAAATAACAAAAAATGGACATACCAAAATATGCCGCACATTAATCTGCTGCGCACCCTTCACCTTCGTACTCTTCTCTTCCGTCTCCGCTTTCCCCTTCGCTTTCCCCTTCTCCTTGGCTGCTCCCTTGTCGCTGCCTTTATTTTTCGGTGCCATGATGCGAAGCAGATATTGGAAAAGCTTTGCTTTCGTGTGAGGCTGGTTTGTACTGTCGAGTTCCCAGGGTTGGTTGTGCTACGCGATCGTCCCTGATGGAGGGGTCGGAGGCAGCTATGGCCAGCCCAGCCCCACTATGTAGAAAATCCAAGCTGCAGGCGGAATTTCCTTGCACTTGGTTGGTCCATGCTGGATGGGCTCGCTTGGGGAGTGAGGTTCAGTGCTTTGACGACGACATGTCTTGATGTGAGATTGGAGATCTGGTGAATGATGGATGCGTATTGGGGACGTCGAATGTTTTGGATCGATTTCTGTAGAGGTTACTCTCTAGCAACTCCTTTTATGTTTTCGGAGGCATTTGTGTGCGTGGAAGTTACAGGACACCACCATATTATTTTCGACCTGAGAAATTGTGGATTGAGGCATTGCACGACCGCATTTGAGGAATCTCATTCATTGACTCGAATCTTATCACGGTACCTTAAGAGCTCTCCGTGGAAGATGATGGCTCAAATTCTCATAATCCATCTATCCTACAGCTTTTTTGCACTCGGTGCGCAGCCACGCACTTACGGATAGAAGAGTAACCACCTGCATTTCCAACTTTACGTTGAGCCATCATCTAAAATATCCATCCGAATGAGAGGAGAGAACGACTTGAAGGAAGGATATACCAGGTAACTCAATTGAATGTGCCGATTGTACATACGACTTCATAAGAAATTGTGAGGTTTTGTATATCAGAAACTATCTCATGGCCCTCGAGAAAACACATCACGAACTACTCAGAAAAATCGAGTCTCGCAACTTTCTTCTAACAGCAAGAACTTACAATACAATCTCAGTCATCATAGTACAGTTCATCTGGTGCAATGTCTTGTATCATTTGAACTCAGCAAGATCCAATCCTTCATAATGATGTATGAATACAAACCAACAAAGACACGCTACAGTTATGACCACCAGCAAGAAGAAATTTTCTCCACCCCGTCCAAAAGTAAGTTCCCCAAGTCAGATGATGGAGCAACTACCGAGAAGAAGAAAAAATCTGTTAGTCCCCTTCCATAACCAACGTCTCCTATGAGGTGATTGTGAGGTCATTGATAAAGGGGATCTCAAAAGCTAACACGAATTAGTTTGCACATCGTTAATTGCCGAAACCCCAGAAAATCCGCAAGCACCAGAGATCATGAAGAATATCATCGCTTTGGAAAGTGGATAAGTTACTCTGAAGTTTATCTGGGGTTGTGGTTATGTTGGAAAGGAGAAGTGATGCTGAAATGTCTCGCATAATATCATGTTTACTAGCCGACACCAACGCAACAAATTTTCTAGTAGGATTTGTTTGTAAGGAACACTACTAATTGTGAGTCTGCAACTGCCGAAACTAGAGCGACTAAGCGAGTTCTCATCAGGGGAAAAATGATGATATAAACGATTCCTTCAGCAGCGTTTTTTTCTTCCCCACAAGCTAGCTAATCTAGACCAGTACTATTCATACCAACTCCCTCTAAGTCCCCCCCAAAAAGAATATTTATACAGTGCATAACCCCTGCATTTATTCCATCCCTTCTCTTCCCTTTCCCAACTTCCAATTCCTCAAGAGATATACAATCTACCCAAACAACCCGCAACTCAAAAAAAACAATGTCAACATACAGCGCAAACATCCACTCCATCCCCTCAACCTCCACACCCCCCTTCCGCATCCTCGCCTCACTATCCCAATCCAACTCCCAAAACGCCAACACCACCAGTTCACCACGCACCTCTCGCGCATACCCAGAAGAACCAGAATCCTCTGCATCCCCCTCCCCACTTCCAAACTGGAACTACCCTCCCTCCACACTCCCCACGCAACTACAAGACCCCTCCCATCCCACACCAACAAGGGAAACCACCTCAAACCCAGTCGAAGGAAAATACCTCGAAGAAGATCGAGCCATCACACCACAGGCGCTCGACTCCCCAACATACAACAGGGAAGGAAACACCAACGGGACCCGCAGCCCCCACACACCCCCCTCCAACCGCGCATCTTCCATCTCCCTCAGCACCATACCGGAAGAACACCACGGGCTCCTAAGCGGACTCAACGCCTTAACAACACCAGGCCATCGGTATACCTACATCCCATCCAGCATCCCCAACACACCATCGCCCAAGTCCTCTTCCTCCACTGGAAGCGGAAATGGAATAACTTTCAGTGGATATGGAAGTATCAACAGTACCGGAATTATCAATGGGAATGGAAGAACCCACACATCAACAACACAAACCCAAACCCAAGCAGCGACACCAACCCCAAGCCAGCGAAACTCAAACTCCCACTCCACCCTCCCCTCAACCGCCCGAACCTCCTTCTTCAGCACGAGCTCAACAAGAGGAAGTACATGGCTAGAAGATACCTCCCCCCCATCCAGCGCCCCCTCCTCTCGCTCTGGCTCCCCACGCTCGCCTAGTCCTTATCCACATTCGAATACTCACTCAACATCCCGGATCTCAAAGTCAAAAAAGAACACCCACCCAGTTTCCACCTCTACCTCTCAGTCACACTCACACTCCCACCCCTCCTCATCAAAACCCGCACCAATTTCCTCCCCCCCACACTCCCAGCCCAAACCAGCTACGACACCGCGCAGCCATCTGGAAAGGCGCTCAGTGTGAAAGACGAAGAGTATATCCGGCTAATCACTGAGTTCCGAAGGGGAATGAGCGATATGGAGAGGAATGGTGGCTGTTTTGATGTTGCTGGGGGTGGTGGGAGGGAGATGCAAGAGAAGAAGGAGAAGAAGGGGAGGGGGGGTATGAGGAGGATTTTGGGGTTGATTAGGGGGAGGAGTTAGGTGGGAGATTCGTTGAGTTGAGTTGGAGGTGGGGGTTTGTATAAGATGGGGTTAGTCTTGAAGAATATGTCGGGATTTTATGAAGGCGCTTATCTTCCAAATTCATTTCAATTAATGAAACTTCATCACACTTCAATCAGCCACATTTCAAAGTCGATACATCGATAGACTGAATGTATTGAATATCTATGGAATCAATCTCAATCTAAACCCCCCCACAGGAAAGCAAGGCAATAGAACAAAGCCAAACCAATCGACACACAGTATCAATCCTTAAATCGGGTTTATCTCTGATGAACACTCATTTTTCCCATCATGTACCATTTGTACAAATGCCCAAATAGACACACATAAAAGCCACCCACCCAGGTTTTTTCTCCATCATGCAGATCAGTAAACGCCAATGCCGATTATGAAAAAACAACATAAACGTGCAGAGCACAAATCAAACTATGCCATTTCTATGCAGAAATTCATTCTTTCATTGCCCAGGAAGAAACATAATTGTTGACTCTGCGAAACACGACACCATCACTTCAAGAAGCGTTGGTAAATTCAGGCTTGTACGTCTTGACACCTCCTTGCTTCATCAACTCGCGTAGAGCGATGGTCGCATATTGGCTGGAGCCAAGTGAGAACTTGACAACGACGGCAATCTTTGCTGGAGAAGCATCAGAATTCGATTGACCACCAGAATCACCCTTGGAAATCTTGTCGTGGTTTCGTTTGAGGGAACCAGACTCTTCGACATTTTTCTTTTTATTGACCTCCGACCTATCAGCGTCTTCCTTGACGCCATTGGAACTTCCGGCAGCTGCATCATGCAAGTTTGCACCACCATCGTCTGGATCGATAGAGGAGACGAGAGAAGTAGTCGAAGTCTTTGGCTTGAGACCATCCTGAATAGGCTTGTTGATCTCAACCGGCTCTACTTCAGGTTTCTCAACAAGAGTGGTCAAATCATTGTTTGCTTCTTCAGCATTGATTGGAGTATTCAAGGCACTGACAGCTGGGTTAGGAGCATCGGTGGCAGGAGTAGGAGGGGGTGGAGGTGGAAGCGCGGGTGAAGCTACACCGTTTGCTTCTGCTACAGGCTGACGTGCTGGCGTACTAGGAATAGTAGTAACTCTTGCGGCACCCTTCGTTCTGATGAGCGAGCCATCAGTAGATGCTTCAATAAACGTCTCCTTCATTACAGGCAACTTGTAGCTACCTTCAGCCAAAGCGGCTTGGTGTGCAGCGTTGCTAGCAGCAATAGCAGCTTTGTCTTGCTCCTTAATTATTGCTGCTGCGTTGAGCCAAGCATTATGGGCGGGAGTGCCAAGATATTCATTCTTGGATCGTGACGAGTCGACATTAGCAGAGTTTCTTTGGTTGTTGAGTTGCTGTACAACTCCACTTCTGACATCGCCGCGAGAACCATTGCTGGCAACACCTCTAGCATCATTTCTACCATTATTGCGTTGCTGACCATCAGTTTTGGGTTGTTGTGGGCGGGCGGGCTTAGCTTTGTCCAGCAAATCTCCATCAGTTTGTACAAATTGCTCAGTTGCCTCATGGTAAGACTTAACCTCGAATGTCATATCTTTTCCAATATGAGCCAAGAATTTGCGATAGCTTCCGCTAAGACTAAAGTCTCTGTTCTGACGGCGCATGTTACCGGGGTCTAACTTTCCTCCCTCCTCACTTCCCATCCACTCCTTATAGAAATCTCCAATGTCATTGAGAGGGTACTCGATATCGAAACCAGGAGTCGGGAGGACGACATCATATACGGTATAACCTCCACTGGCCGCCTCTTCTGCGGAAAGAGCTCGTGCACGTTGAAAGATATCGTTTTGTGTGTATGCCGCATCGTCGTTTGCAGGATGTACGACAACTTCACCATTCTCGTCAATCTCATCTCGGTTGGCATTTGCAATAGCTGCAGGAGTATTGACCAAAACAAGGTCTCCTTCAATAACCTTCATGCCATATCGAGACCAACGCTCACTGGCAGCCAAGTTCCATACCTTTGATTGATAAGCATGAACGTACATTGTGCGGAGGTTTCTCGGAATTATAAGGAGTGCATTCAAACAATCATGTTCTGATGGGTTGTGTTTGGATGCCAAGCATCTGATCACCGTACTCTCCGCGTGGTATCTCCTAGGGATTTGGCTCAATGCAGCTGGACTCTTTCGATCATTCTGCCATTGGAGAATAGCTTGAGTCCTAGCAATATCGTCTTGATTAACACCAGCGGTTGATGCGCCTCTCAAAACACAATCCTCAGACTCTTTGCTACACTGCAAGATCGCAAAAACTGCTTTGGTGAAATTTCCTTGTAGAATCAACTTGCCAATTTCATCTGTGCCTATGGCATGTGTACCAAAGCGTTGAAGGCCATAATAGTTGATGAAACCCTCGGCTTGGAGATGAGCAACCGAATCACCAACAATTTGTTTTGCCAGTAAAATTCTTGCTGGGTGATCAAGGCCATCTTCACCGGTGAAGTGACAATCTCTAAGAGTGATTGTAAATTGGTTACCATAAAGTTCACCCAATTCGAGGCTGAACTTCTCGTGCTTAAAGTTGCCAATGCGAGCCTGTCGAAGGACGTGCGGGCGATTGAGGTTTGCCATGGTCTGAGATACTTGTCGGAACACACTAACTCTCTGCGAGGTCACTGCCCGTCGATCCTTGGTACCAGAGAAGGCGAAGTCTTTTGTATTGACCTTCATGAGTCTGGACAGGAAATAGATACACTCCATTGTGTCCTTATTTTCCTTATACAATGTAAAGTGTAAATATTCTCCACCAAGCTCATTCCAGCCAGCCTTGCCCTGTGGTACTTGGTTTCGGCCATGGCCTTTGACTCGGGTATTACGAGCATTGGGCTTGGGCTCGGATTTTGGTCGTCGGGAGGATGGAGGGCCAGCAATGATGCTGATCACATCGAACTTGTCGGTCATTGATTGCATTTTTCCCAGGAATAGGTGACGGATGAGAGTGTGGATATTGCCACGCTTGGTGCGATCGGTCATGGGTTCAAGCAAGACTTTTCCAAAAAAGGAGGTTTTGGCGTTGGGATTCTTGAGAATTGCCGCAAACATATCAAACACCTTTTGAGTGCTTTCGGGTCCGATGAGGGCGGATAATTTCTCACGATTCTCGGGGGTGTCGGGCGAGTCCTTAGCTTCGATTGTTGCTGGAGGGGCCGCAGACTCCACTTTTGGCGCCTCTGCGATGACATTTGCTGCTGGCAGAGATTCACCTTCAGCGAGCTCTGCCTTAGCGGTGGTGACATCAGGAGCAGTGGTATCAGCGACAACGGCACCACCATCAGCAGTAGCAGCAGCTTGCTCTGGAACCTTTTCCTTGGGTTGAGATTGCTCTTGGGACTTGGCCTATTCAACTGTCAGAAATTCATCTTGCGATTGCTAAAAATGGTGCTGTGAGTCAACACGGGATACAGGTGACTCACTTCTTCAGATTTGACATAGCTCAAAGCCCTAGTATCAGTAAGGTGAACAACAGATCCGTCAGGTGTGATTTCATTGACAATAAAGTCAGTGTATCTAGGTGGTGGTCTATATTAGCTTTGTACTTTCTGGGTGAAGGTAAAGGTGAGGGCAACAAGACAAGACGACAAGGCAAAACATCTGCTTTGAACGCTACGAATGGAGTAACCATAAAATGATTGAAGAGTCACGATAGGAAAGAGACTGAAGCGCAAAGAAATACCAGCAAGAAATCGCAAGGGTGCATGTCTGACCATCATCAAAGGTGAATTTGAGTTGACACACCACCAAACCATCGCTCCTCAAAAGCGCGCAAAGAGATAGAATACGAGAGTAAATAACAAGTCGCCGACGTAAAGAAAGAGAGAGGAAGTCATAATATACCTTTGCTTCAAAGTGCCACAGAATCCAGAATTGGAGGTGGTCAGGAAATGGATGATACCAATCGCCGCCTCGCGACTGTTGGGCTCAGCGCGATTGACATCAATTGCCGTCGCCGTCGTACCAGTGGTGTCCTCACCCTTCAATTGAGGAGTAGAGGTAAAATTTGGGTCAGAGGTGGCCATCGTGATGGAGGTATCCGACATGCTGGAGGAGGGTTGTACCTGTTGAGGCGGAGAAGAGTTGGAGAGAAGACGTTGACGTTTGGCGGGTGGTTCACTTTCACTTGCGCCTGCTGCGACTGCGGGGTGGTGGTGCGCAGAGATGGCAGGAACGGGGGGTGGTTGAGGGTCTGTCATTTTAGGAGGGGTAATTGGGACTGTCACCACCAACGGGAAAAATTGGGCAAAGGTACGGCCTGAGCTCTAATTGCTGCCCAGCGTTTAAGTCTGAGTACAATTCTCACTTTGCCCAGGACAGCGTCTCTATGGTCAAGCTTGAAATTGCCAATGTTATGCAAGTTGCGATTGTGGTTGCGATTTGTTGTGTCGGCGGAATCTTTTGATATTTGCCGTTACCAAATCAAAGCTGGGAAATAGTCGGCACAGTCACCGGCACTCTAGTTATTCCGATCCGATCTGGAGCTAGGGCCTTTAGAGCTTAGTCTGATCTAATCCACCAATCAAAAATCTCAATTGAACGCATTTGATACGTGACGTGCATTTGGTATTTCTCATTGAACAGCCTCAAAACAACGTCGGTTGTCACATCCAGATCGATCTGCACCATCTTTTTTCCACGCAATTCACCCTTATACTACTACAACAAACCTCCCATTCCATATCCTAGCAACCTGCCTGCTTATACCTCTCCATAAAATTCCTGTCACTCCTCAGAGACCAAATAAGCTCATAACAAATCAGATATTGCGGCGTACTCTATTCCTGAACAATTCAAGAGAGACCTCAGATTGAGCAGGCATCAATCATACTGGCAGTTTCCACCGAACAAAAGAACTCTTCGCAGCAATCCTCCACGGTTTTTTGGTCGTGTATAGCATATTCGAGCAGCCTTAGTTCTTTGCGGGCGAGCTGAACGGGGTGTGAGGGGCAATCTTATCCAACGTGTTTCCATCGTTGGTAAAATGCAACTTGTTATATATCTCCCACTCGTCCATCTGTGAGGGTCTCGGAGTCCGAGTCACTTCATGGATTGGTGTTTGGCCGGGCAGTCTCGTCAACGTAACCTCGACGCGGAACCCCATGAGTTTTGGCATCTGCTTCCGGCTATGAAATTTGTACCTGTATATCGTCAGTATCTGATCAAGCAAGTGCTATCGAGAATGCTGGGAATGGTTCTTACAGGCCGTCATAGCGAAAACCTCCCATTGGAGCCAGATGAGAACCTTGCAATTGATAGCCGCGAATGATGCGGATTGGATGACCATGGTTGTTGAACAATCGTGAGATTGTATCAACTTCATTTGTTTCCCGAACATATGTCACTTTGTCGAATGTATCACTTGCCACAATTCCCCCATTCATCACCAACACACACATTCCACCGTCGCTCGACAAGTTTGCTTCCTCGTATGGATCTCTCAGCATGCCATCACGGGCAGCGCAAGATGGATTGGGCCACCAGCTAAGTCTGTGTCAGCATTGCAAAAAGGTCTTGGGTGAGATTCTCATACTCTCCTGGAACAAATCCCTGGGCACCATATCCTGCAGCCTTCTGCCAATCACCCGTCGCATAGGTTATTTGGCATGGGTGGGGCAATGCAGTCAACCAGGTTCCATCATTTGATTTTGGAATTAGCTGGATACAATGTAATGCTCCTCCAACTTTGTACATTTGAGCGGCGCGGTAATGCTCGACTCTGTCTTCAACCTTCTTCGCTGCCTCAACTTCTTGGAATGAGCTCTGCAACTTGATTACGCGAGCGACCATCTCATCGTACCACTTCTTGCAAAGTGCTACTTTGCTGTCAAAAACAATTGCGAATTCGCATTTTCTGAAGCTGCCCAAGAAATCTTCAGAGTACGTCTTCAACAAGTCTTCGAGGAATTTATCTCTGTGCGTGATAACAACTTCCTCCCAGTTGAGTTCGTTGATAACCATCATAAAAGCGTGCAATTCTGCGTCGATGGATTTTCTTATCTTCTCGTCGACACCCTTTTCCTGGATAGCAGCTCGCAAGATATCAACACGTTCCTTAATCTCCGCTGTTTTTGGTGACTTGCCTTTTCTATATTTAGCATCACAGCTTTCAAGCCGAAGCTCTTTGAATGACTTACTTGCTTCCGACGAATCCATGGTACCATCAATGCCTCCACTTTCAGCGACGTTCTCTCTGAGGACGGGTCCGTCAAGGCTGGCTCCACCTCTGACGCCAAATTGCGGATCACCAATGTTCAATGAGCTGATGCTATCGTTGTCTCCTTGGCGATCAGCAAGCAAAGGAACCTCATCGCTTCGGAGGCTCTGGGCTCTATTGGTTGGGGTGCTGCCTGGGCCGTATCTTGAACCTGAAAAGTCACGACCAGGTGGTGGCGTGCTAGCATAACTAGCCGCCTTGGGGACGAACACGTTCAAAAGCTTCTTCATTTCGATGACCGATAGAGCATTATCTGTTTGGATGGGTTCTGTTTGCTGCTGCAATGAAGTGGTATGGACGTGTAAGAGGTTGACTTGCGATGATGTTTTGGTGGTAGCTCCGATCTCGTGGTGGCTCTTCGAAGCAAATCTCGGGTGCTTCTGCAAGCGAGAGGACAACATCGTGGTGGCTGGCTAGGCTGGGTGGGGTTGGTACGGAGACAAGACAGACAAAGAGCAGAGCAGAGCCGGACAGAAATCTCGAGTTAGTCAATCCGCACGGCAAGAATCCAAAAGTTGCAATTGTATCCTGTGGTGTTATTGGAGAATGGAAAATGGCATGTTTGTTGCAAGAAGAATCTCGGAATGAATCGTAGAAGGACCGGAATTTATCTTGCTTCCAACTAGTTCTTCAGGTCTTTTCGTTTTGGCAGGTGCGATTGTGGTGGGAACCGGTGACTGCCTCTGCACCCGGATGCACTTCATTCCTGCTGCTAAGCTGGAAGGTACTTTTCGAGTTGGCTTTTGGAATGAAAGTTGATTGGCAATTGGGATACATTTTGCTAGTCTCTTCTTACCTCTTGCTGGACTTGACAGTATCGTCAGAAGCAGATTCTTGAATCTTGGTTGAGATGTTGTCTCTCTGTCATTTTTGGGATAATTCTCAAAGAGCGCAGGGATTAGGTATGTGTTTATCACCCTTAGCCCTTCAGGATAAACGAGCTTGGTTTTACGAGTCTTATGCGAGCAAAAGACATGTCAAGTGTAGGTGTTTTGCAATTGTTACGGATTCTTGCACCAACTTCCATTTTCCAATCTCTGAGGGCTGTGGCTTACTCCCGCCATGTAGCGTGGTATATACAAGGTAGGCGGTTTGGAGCTTTTCGACACCATGCTTCTGTTTGCAAGGTCAATAAGAACATTTACATGAAAACTTGGATCCTACATAAAATTCAAGATGTCTTTACCTGATTGGCCAATGAAGCTCCAAAATACTGCTGCAAGTGGACAGAAACCTTGCGTTTCTGCTCCACCATGCAGGCAAGTACAAGTATGACGCTGTTAAATCGGCTCGAATTTTCCGTGGTTAGATGCTTCCTCTTCAATGTTTCACATCTTTGGCAGCCTCCGAGTTCTCCGAGCATAAAACAATTTGAAGTGGGTATTTCTGTAATCTTAATCCGTGTCGGGGGAGCTAAGACTTGGCCTTGCAAAACTTGTTTTGTGCAGTTGATGGTTTCTCATCAATATCTCCGCAACACCGAATTCCTCCGCCCGAAAGGTGGAGAACCTGGGAAATGCATGAGTGACTACATATAGTTGGTATTCTCTCAACCTATTCAGCAGAAATATTGCACACCTTCATTTGCCATTTATATCCAGCCGTTTCCTGTACTCGTATCATCACAATGTCTCTTTATATCATCGCAATATTTGCCCTTAACGAGGGGAAGTTGGCTCGGGTATGCCTCTGCCCTAATTCTTTCTAGTCGTGTCTGCTGATTAAATCTGTTAGTCAATTGAGCTTTTTAAATGCATTGCAGATAGTGTGAAGAAGAACGAGCCTGACTGCTTGCGTTTTGAAATAATGAGCTCCACCAACGCAGAAACCAAGCAAGAAGAAATAGTCGTCCTCGAAACGTTTGCTCTCCAATCATCCCTTTTCTGCCTGTCCTTGCATTGATTTCCTCCATAGTTTTGCCAATCAAGCTGCCGTTGAGCTACATCAAACGTCGGACGTCAACGTGGCTTTCTTCAAGACGATTATGGATGAAGAGCTTTTGGCAGCGCCTCCGCTGTTCAAGGCCACGAAATCGCATGGAGGATTGCTTTCGAGAGTCTAGGTGGTTGTGAAGATCTTAATGGATCTATTTCCAAGTATTCTTTGGCAAAATCTGCTGCTTTGAATCTCGAGGACGTAGTGGGAGGGAAGGTCAGGTTTCTGGTCTGGGTACCTGCATTTTTGGGTGCAGTTGAGTTTTCCGTGACGATGCAACGAACCTGCAGAATCTGGTCAACAAAGGAGATAGAATGGACTTGTTTTATGCTTCTTACAATCATTCGTAGCTTCCTTTCTTATTTTCAAATCTGCGAGGAGCAGGCAATAGCGCTGTGCACTGAAAGTGAGCGAGTTTCGGCTGTGTGCTCTTGCCTGTTCGTGTATTTCCGCAAAGGTAAAAGTACCGACCGACCTCATGTCTTGCTGCCTTTCTTCAAGTTCTTCCAACTTCCTCCAACCTTTCCTCCAACCTACACCACCTCACAAGCAGCCTTCGCAAACAAGCCATTCGAGGGAGCTTTCTCTTCACCACCCCGCTCATTGATGTATTACAAGGACTGTGTGCATTCTCCTGCCCAAGGTTCGTCAACTCCCCTTACGCCCTCGTCTCTACCTATCCACCAACTTTCCAAAGTTCCATCCAAGTTGGCAGGCAAATCTGCAGCAGAATTTCACAAGCCACGCTTGAGCGGGTGCCTGCTGAACCAATTGCTAATTTTCTTTGGGATTTCAATAGCATTCCCTGCTTTGACTTGACCTTTTTGATACCAAACATTTCCTTCCATATTCTAGGCAGATCTTGAAAGCTTCTGTACCGAAAGGATGTCTGCTACCGCCCCTTCTGATACGTTTCCAACAATCAACTCCAGTACATTCCCAGTCCTTGAACCTCCAGAGCCGACCTGCGAATGCTCTTCTCCAGGCTCGGTCGACACTGCTATCCCCACAACACCCAAGAACAAATTTGCAAGTCCCAACGAATACTTTTCCATCCCTGTACGTTTCGACGGTTCGCCAGATCTTCGCGGAGAGACAGACGACTTCAACATGGAGCTACCAATTCGTCGCAGAGGATCCCCAACCCGCAATCCATCCTGTAGCAACTCCCGTGCGATGCTTGCTATCCTTACGGCAGACGAAGTTGAGCAAGCCACAGCAGTAGTATCCCCGAGTCAAGATTCTTCGGATTCCTCTTTTAAGGGAATCCCACTGAACCTTCATGCAACCCCAATGGCTTACAACGACTATGGCGAGCTCGTCACCCAAGCTTCCCTTAACATCCCTAAGACTCCTCAAAAAATGACAGCTACCGAGATCATCAGAGTCATCCACACAGCTTACCACCAAGATGTAAGTTTTTCCTCTTGTTAACCGATCTTGTCGAAATGGGATAAAATCCCCCCGTTGGAGGGCCTTTTTAGAAGCGACTTGGCTAACTCTAGGTCATCAGCTCCGTGACCAGATGGGTGAGATTATTCTGGAAGAAATGGACGGAAAGATATCCCTGATCGTTGGAGATGGTACATTACGTGGTCATCACCTTACCTCCTGGGTTTTCCAATCTGGCTCTTCCTCAGTTGGAGCAGATCATGGACAACCCACACCCGCAGAAGGAATCAATGTACAGGCTCCTCGTGGACCTCCTCGAATTCTGAACGTTGGTTGCGGTAGCGGTACATGGTGCTTTCGAGTAAAGTCTGCAAATCCCAACTGGATTGTTCATGGTGTTGATGATACAAATCACTGGTTGTGCGTCCACAAGGATCTCCCCCTTCGGTATGTATCTTTAAACTTGGTACGCGATATTTGCTAAGACTATCGTAGGGACTTTATGTGTGTTGCTTCACAGGATAAAGGACAAGACTACTTTGCACGAACTGAACCCCTCGATGTCAATCCACAATTCAGTGTCCGAAATATTAACACCCTTACTGATCCCTCAAACCCCCTTCTGATGGGCAGCTACAGCCTCGTTCGTGGACGTCAGATCTTTGGAAAGGTTCAAAATTACAAGGCCTTTCTCGATTCTATTCGCATGTAAGTTCTACAATATCTTCAGTGTGGAAACAGAACTTCCTCACTACTCAATTCGCAGTTGTGGTTTGCTGACGCTTTGCAGGTTACTTCAACCAGATGGAGTCGTTGAGTTCCTCGAAGTTGATCCTCGCCCTCGAATCCCATTTGTTGGTCCTTATCGAAAGCCCATTGTCGAGCGAAAGACCCAATCCATTCGATTGGCTGATACGATTATTGACTCTGACTTGGCGGAGAACGTTCCGGGCTGGTCTGCGAGGGTTGTAGAACAAGGAAAAGCAAGCTTACGACCTCTAGATGGTATTCCCGCTGCCAATATGAAGGAGTGGATTGAGGGCGCTGGGTCAGTGAACACTTCGCTTGCACACATACTTCTGCAGCTAACATTAATCAGCTTCTACGATGTCAAAGAAGTCATCATTCGCTTACCAGTTGGCGGTCCCACATCTTCCGGTCAAAAGCATTTGAGTTATTTGCGTTATCAACTCGATCTTGAGGACTCCATTCCGAAGGTGAGATAATAACATCGCAATTCTCTCTATAACTTAACCCCCTTCTAACAACGCCTCTAGGTCCGGGCAGAACTCCCACGCGTCGAAATGGACGAATTTGAGAGCGGCGCCTATTCTCTCAACCTCCACATCGTCACCGGTCGCAAACCACAACTCCCACGCACCGGAGACCTTCTCAAGGACGGAGAGAGGGTTGAAATGACGCCTTCCACGTACGATGCGATGGCTAGAATGAATGACACCAAGTCTCCAACGTGGAAAAGGTTCGAAAAGGCCCTCCTGCAATCCATTTGAATAGTAATATCAAGAGAAGGAGTGGTGACAAGAGACTAAAAATACTGATTGTTTTGTTTTCTCGCTGGGTATTTAGGTTCGATATCTCGGCAAATGTTTGTAGTATGATGCGAACCGCCGGATTTGGGGGACCAGCTACAGCCAGGGCTTGAATATGGCTTTGTTAGGGGGGATATTTGCTGATTTGAGGGATGATTACGGGGCTATTCTACGTGTACTTGGTCGCTTTTTGATACGTTCAGAAGGGAATAGATGAATAAACGAATGTTTCGACAAGTTTGTAGTCTAGAAAAGGCCGTAAATAAGTGGAAAACACTCTTGTTTATTACTTTTCGTAAGTTTTCTCGTGATTCCATACTTGTTTTCTATTCTATTTTTATAGAAACTTAGTAGTATACTAGGTATTTTTTAGTATAAATAAATAGTTGAGAATAATTAACTATATCTTTCTTTCCTATATCTATACCTCCTTTTAAAAACGTTTTCTTTTTAAAGATATAAAGTAATTAGATTACAGGAAATATTTTATATAAAAAGATTACTTTATTTAAATAATTAATCTAAAAAGGGTTATCTAAAGTAAAAAAAGAGATTCGTTTTTCTTAAAGTAATAGAGTAATTAAATTATAATAAAAGCTTCTTATAAAAAGGTTATTTAACAATCTTAGTATAAGAGTCTCTAGGGAGACTCTTATAGGCGTTGACAAGGTAACTCCCATTACCTTGTATTACTACTAAGCTATACTTAGTTATATAGGGAGCCGGTACTAAGAGCTATATACGCCCTTAAGCCTTACCTATATATATACGGCTCTTTACGCCTATATAGTACTACTTTTATATATTAGAATAATATAAAAATAAAATAGGTTTATATATATAATTAGGTACTATCCTATACTTAAAGTATATATCTTTCTAACTAGTAGAAGTAGTACTATATAGCTAGGAAGAGTAGTATATACTATAATAAGTTTTAGTATTCCTTTAGCTAACTTATTATACCTACTTTAACCTACCTTTTCTTTCCTAATATAGTAAGTAGGAATATACTATACCTAATATAGTAAGTAAGGAAGGTTTATATTCTAGCTTATATAAAGCCTTCTAGAGTCTTTTTTAGGATCTAAGGAACAAAGAATAATTTATATCTAGATAAGAGGATATTAAACTAGATTAGTTATTTAATAAAAATAGTCATTCTAAAAGAGTTATTTAAAGTAAATAAAGAGATTCTTTTTTCTTAAAGTAATAAAATAATTAGATTATAATAAATATCTTATATAAAAGGATTATTTTATAAGAATAATTATTCTAAAAAGGGTTATTTTAAGGAAATAAAGAGATTCCTTTTTCTTAAAGTAATAAAGAAATTAGATTATAGTAAAAATGTTTTATAAAAAGATTATTCTATAAAAATAGTAATTCTAAAAGAGTTATTTTAAGTAAATAAAGAGAGTTAATATATTCTAGAAAAGTAGGGAAATAGAGTTTATTTAGAGGGGTTAGGGGGAATTAGAAGAGAGAAAGAAGAGGGAATTAAGGTAAGGGGGGTTTTAGGTATTTAGGGGGGTAGGGTAGGGGGGAGGTTTAGAGGGAGAAAAGAAATAATTCTTATTATTAAAAGTATTCATAGAAAATATATTATTAAGTATATAATATTAAGTATATAATATTAAGTATATAATATTAAGTATATAATATTAAGTATATAATATATAAGTTAGTTAAAGATATTTTAAAGAAATAAGGAAAATTAATTAGTTAGTTTAAAGGGGTTACGCAAATTATTAATTTATTAAATAAGAAGAAAGTACTTATAAGGAAAAAAGATTTAAATTATAAGAGAATTTAATTTCCTAAATAGTTATATATTTATTTATAAATATATTTCCTTCTTTCTTTTTTTAATTTATTTCTTTTAGAATATATTTAGCTCGTTTAATTTAGAGATTTATATTATATAAAAAGATATAACTTATATATAAATCTAATTATAAATCCTTTTAGATTTATATTATCTAAAAATCTTTATAAAAGAATTAAACCCTTAACCCTCTATTTAAGATTTATATAAATCTCTATATAAATTTTTCTATTTTATATACTAATTCTATACTAAAATTTAGTTAGATTTACTTAGCTCGCTTAGAATTATATTAATAAATAACCCGAAATATTACGTTAATATATTATACTATAAGCCTAGGATTAATTTATATACTCTTCTAAAAAGACGTTAATTATATAATAAAAAGAAAAGAATTAGCTATTTTATTACTATACTAGAAGTCTAGGCCTCGGCTAATTATTTCCTATAAAATAATATTAAAACTCTATAATATACTTCTAGGCTTAAGGGCAACGAAAAGATAGCGGGATTACTCGAGGAATATCTAAAACATATAAGAGATAGTTTTTATATTACCTAGGAAGCCTTTAATATATTAGAGAATATACTTATATAAAAAGGTAAAGAAAAAGAAGATAGAAGAAGTATAATTACTCGGTTAAATACTTATACTAGGGGTTATTAGAATTCTATATATACCCCTAGATTTTAGTTAAAAATATACTAAAAACTATATTTTTAGAACTCTATAACTTTATAAACTTATAAGTAAACTATATGTAATATCTTATATATTAACTTTCTAGAGTATATAAACTAAGTATATATATAAGAGTTTTCTTTAAAACCTAATAGTTAAAGAGATATTCTAGTAGAGAGTTTTCTTTTATTAAATCCTTTAGTAAATCTACTATAATTATAGTATAAGAGAGGTAGCTATTTTATTTAAATTCTAGATAGTATGAGTTAAAGCTATCTTTTATATTATCTCGAATTATTATTTATAGAATATAACTTAAGTTATAGATTATTCTTTAATTTATTATAATTTAGTAAAGTAGTACGTTTTTAGTATATTTTCGGTTAAAATCTAGGGCTACGTATAGAATTCTAATACCCCCTAGTACTTAGTTAGATAGAACCAACTAAATCGTAGTATAGTGTAACGAATACTCAAACTGGCTAACTAAACTTGGCTGGGTGTTCGCTGGTTGGTATGCTATGATAAGAAGAAGACTATCGGGTTGTTCACTTGGAAGTGAACTCGTTACTTGTATCAAAGATGTCAAA